TGTGCTGGGCGGAGAGTGACAAGTGTTAGAGGAAGCGCACCGACGTGTAGGAAAATCGCAATGGAACAGAGAACAGACACATGCGCCACAGCGGCGGGCATGAGGCACCAGCACACACGTAATCACTTTCACCACAGGAGGGGGCGGGGCCAAAACAGCAGGTGGCTACGTGTAGCTACTCATAGCTGCGATATGTTTAAACACAGTAGGGACAGAAATGCGAGAAAAAAATGTGATGGCAACGTAAATGGGCGAATGTAAATATAGGGTTATGGGAAGTGGATGCATCTCACGTTGTTGACAAGTGCGTAAATGCATACATTATCAGATCAAAAAAAAATAAATTGGCAAAAAAAAAACTGCTAAGAGAGAAAGTGAGAATTTTTTTCACCACCAAAATAGAAACAGAAGAGAGACGGTCATGAAAACAAGGCAGACAGCAGCCCGGCGCAGGGATTAGAGACTGTGAGCTGGAAGCCAGGAGTGCAAATGTTCACGAGGGCCCTGCTGTTGTACCCTCGAGTGGGGAACGTCACATGAATGTTCCAGTAACCAAATTTAAAACACACCAATGGTACAAATGGTGCAATTACATGTGCATATGGTGCAAATCTTTGGATAGGTGCTCACTAATGTTTAACTAAACATTTCAGTTTCGTTTCTGCTGACAATAATGACGATTGTATTGATGGAAATAGCGAAAGCTATGGAATGTAATTAAGACCATAAGGCTTACAGCTTGCCCCTCCCCCCCGAAAAAGGCTTCTCACGGCTGTCTAGCCCTCGAAACCCCGCCAGGTCGCATGTGTTGTGGGGTACGGCTGGGCTCCCGGCCAGGCTCACCGTATCAAGGGTGGCCAGAGGGCAGGAAACGAGAGCCGCGGAAGCCGGCACGGCGGAGCCGCCTCGGTGCGAGTGCATCCTGCCCGCACCGAATAATCTGTGCCAATCTGTTCACGTTCGCCACACGTCTATCTGCCACGCTGTCCCGGGGGGGCCTGCCAGGCTCCGCCTGCTCAGCGAATTACGCACCGAGGATGCCCGTCCCAACCCCCCCACTCCGCTACAGGGCCACAGATGACCAGCGCTGCCCAGGCCCTTACGCAAGACCACGAGCAACGTTAGAAATCACCCGTTAGTGAGGAAATTGCTTCATTTTTAGATGTGAGACCAGAGGAGCCAATAATATGTAAGTAAAATGTAATTATAAACCAACTGCACACTGCCGGTATTTGTGGCATTAAGAGTCTCGATGCTGGATAGTGGAAATGAGAGCCTGCCCTTCGTTTTTGGAGCCGTCTCGAGCTGCCCTGGGTGAGGCTGGGTGATGGCAGAGCATGTCATCGGGTACACCGCCCACCTGCCCTCTGTGTAGTCCCACAGGAATGCAGCCACAGGCCCGAGCCTGGGCAAGCTAGCCCAAGACAACCTCTCTGCCCAGGACTTGCCCACAAGGGTGGGCACTACCCTGGGGATGTGTGAGGACGACGCTGGGATGGCCCTTCTGCTGCCAAGTCCCATTGCTGACACAGAATAACCTGCGATGCCCATATAGCCATCGGAGGTTCATTTTTAGCCCTTGGAGTAACAGTAAGGTGGAGTTTACAGAGCAAAGCATCCCCCCCAAGCCCAGTCAGTACACCAACACAACGAATGTGCAAATGCCGCCCTAATGACGCACGTCGCAGTTCAGATGCGTTTTTTAAAAAGCCTCCATCCAATTTGACTAATGCCACTGAGATGGTGCGAAACGACACTTTCTGCCACAGTGAATACGATTACGGGTACGCCAGTCGCCATGTCAACGGCGCCTCAAATCTGCATCTACATTTATATTAATTTATTTAGCGTCCACTCCCCTCCGAAAGTGACTTGCAGGGCAGAGTAAACAAAAGTACAAAAGCAGTGAAAGAGCGCTATCACGGACTGGTAAGCGAGGCGTGAACCGTGTCGTTTTCAAAACACGGGTAGATGCGCACATCTGCTCATACGCGCGTTATTCCAGGCGGATTTTTCCACAGCACTGAACATTCACAGATGCACCGTCAAAAAAGTACCCCCCCCCCCCCACACACACACACACACACACACACACGCACACACACAATTGTTATTTTCAGAAAACACGCATTGCAAAAATGTATCTACAAAACCAAAATATGAACTGGCATGTGAAATTTTCCCAGATAACCGCAGTCACAAAAAAACCTTTAGCTTTTATAAATAGGGCACAAGGTGCTGAATGGTAAAATTAAATAACGGCAGTAGCACTGGGAGCCCTGAGATGCAGAAGGACGAGGGGAAATCAGCCTGGAGTAAAGATATGTAGGAAATCTATAGGCTATGTGCAAATAAAGATGAAGCATCTGCACATCACACAACTTGCATCTTATTTTAATGCATTTTTCTTTTGCGTTGTTTATTATCACTGCAAATGGGGAACTCAGTAAAAAAAACAGCGTTTGTGAAACGCCATTTTGAATAAATCATACACTCACAGATCTATATCTGATAATAATTCAGGGAGTTAAAAGTATGTCATACATTAACTGCCCCTCTTTGGATACGCACCACAGCCGATGCTATGACTCATCACGGGCTGCTTCCCAGCCCTGCGTTTCCCCTGCCTCTCATGGGGAAATATATGTGACGAAACGAGGCGGACTGGAAGTCGCGGCCAGCTCGCCCCCCACTCAGCGCGGGGACGGCGCTCCAGTATCAAGCCCCATTTATCTGTGGATTACCACGGTTTGTATTGCCATCGGCCAGCTTCTATGTTCCCTCATCCATCTCATACACACAGCCACGCACAGTTTGTTCTGCACTACAGACTTACGGTGCATTGGGGGGCGGGGGGGCTTCGGAATTACGCCCGGACATCTTGTGCCACATCAAGGTGCGTCCTGCACATCTCTGGGAGCAGAAAGAAGATGTTGATGCATTATACAGCACAAGAGTTTGTGATGCGCTACGTAATGACATTTCCCATCCCTCCACCGTTTGTTTGCGCGATCCCAGGCCACGGTGCCCCGACTCTCTTAGTAGCACCGGTGCAGGTAGAATTCCTGGCCGCAACTACCCACACATGCGCCTGTTGTAGTGCCAAATATCAGAACGATGACATTCATTTCAATTTCAATACTGATGAGATACACTCTGTATATATTTTTCCATTTCGTCTAGATAGTCCCAAATATGAAGGCTTGTGATTCCGTTTAAGATTATGCTTGGATGTAGTTGGTTTCGGTGACACACGCTGACGCACTGATCGCTAACAAGCGTCGTCGCAAGATCACTGTTTTAGAGGATACAGTAGCGTAAAATATGCAGGCCTCCAGTTTCGCGAACCTAATCGTCAATAAAAAGCTATGACACATAGAGCTACTTGAAATGCACGTCTGAAAAATCGAAACGGAATTCAGAACAACATAATAATGGGAATAAAACATGCCAATTCCATTGAACTTCTGTGAACCTGAATTTCCAGTTGGTCAGACGGAGACAGAGGATCACAGTGAACCGCCCGTCGCTGTCAGCGATGTGCTTAGTCAAGCACGGAGTATAATCTATTTATACCATGGCATGTTTTCTCCCCCTAATACATGAAAAAATACATATTTTGTACATGTATAATACCGATCTTTACTATTCATTGTGGACTTGGTTTCACTTAAGACGCGAACCCACAGACGGGCCCGTACAGCTTGCCAGGAGTGAACCGTCTATCATCGTGTTTATTTGGGCAGAGATTTTACTATTAATAAATCTTATATCTGGAAATAAAATAAAAATGCACAACCCACCGAGACCGTTAGTGATCCAAAACTTAAACACTACGTCGGACTCGGTTACAATAATCCTGTCCACAAACACATCTGGGGAATAACATGATGTTACTGATTGTTGGAAACGTTTCAGGGATAGTTTAGGTGTTGGGCTTGTCAGATAATGACTAAAAGCAACTGATTAAATCTAGATTCATCATGCCACGTATTACATGATAAGGACTAGGGGAGCATGTCCGGCCTTGTCGTTATGAGGGAGAGGTCGCCGTCAGCTTCCTGCCGTGGAGGGTTACAGTAATGGTGAATCACTAAGATTCCACGCTGGCAAATCCCCTAAAACCGCGCACCAGTCCAAACTGCTAGAGCTCTTGTCCATAAATGCGATAGTTATCTGGAGATAATATAAACTTAACATAACTTAGTCTAGTCAGCTATAGTCAGTATGCTTGCCATAATCATCATGCACAAGTACAGCACATCTCCTTTCTTACACGAGTGTTATTCGCAAGTCAATTATCCGCTTAATTACCCGAGGTAATCGTAGGTCTATCAGCCCGGAAGAATTGAAAAAGACTCTCCTTACTGTCTGTACTTGGCATCTCAAAGTAAAAACGGTACTTTTCGCTCGGTAAAATTAAACGACGCCCGCATCATATTAAAAGAAAAAATGAAAATAACGGCGAGGTCTTCCCAGAAACCACCCCCCCCCCCAACTCAGATATCACGCAGAAATCACATCTTTGAAGAGAAGAAACCCGAGCTAACTGAAAACGATAAAACTGTAGTTATTAATATCACCAGTGACCTTTCAGATGATTACCACAAGGAAGAATCCAAAATCATAAACTAAATTAGTAATGTAGTACATTATACAGAATTATAAATAACATTATTTGTAATGTTATAACGCGTAATGGAATATAGCGACATTTTAATTTATTTTGACACCTAGCACTAAATTAGCCTATAAGAATTGTGACATGCTAATCCTATTCAAAGAACACCTCGCCAATTTCACTCTACATATACATAAACATGTCCCGACCATACTATATTCATATTTAGTCATTTACAAACTAAACTGACGATTATTAAAATGCAAAGGAAAATTAAAAGTGAGTTAGCGGCTCAAGGGCGCCACCCCAAGGACTTACGGCGCATGGGCCGCGCTGGATGGGATCCAAACTGCGTGCGTTCGAGCGGAGGGAGTGACGCAACAACGGTAACCTCGCGATATCAACTTGCTGTTTAGCGAGACTTTGAAACGATTAGTCTGGTGGCGAAAAGGGGGAACCCGAAAAACAAATACGGGAGTCGTAATAAACAGCGGAGCTCTTTCGTCTTTTGTTTACAGCCGTCAGGTAATTTAAGGTAAGACAATAGATAGCGGTTAGCATATAACAGTCGGGAAAAAAATGGCTGCGGCTAGGCGGCAGAAACGAAATGGTGTCGCTGTTCACCTAAGCGTGTCGGCCGCCTCTGCAGGCCTGGGAGGCTCGCTAGGCCCGACTCGGCCTGTGTGTGCTTCCCGCAAAACAGACACTCTTCTGGGTCCACGTCTAACGTTAAATAGGGTCAGCTACATGGCCACTGGTGTGTGAAGGCGATTGTTTGGCCGTTATGTTGGTTGGGAGAGGTCATCTGGGTAATGGAGGTAAAAATGCCGGGTGCCGTGCTGTGTGATAGGCGGTGAGTGGATTCGGTGTGTCCGACACTAAGAAAGGCTGTTCAAGTATAAGGCTTCCACCTCCAGACGTAGTTGAATTTTTCCTTGTTTCTTTAGCGTGTGTCGCTGCGTAACTTTAATTCCCCGCCTTTGCCCCCGGAACCGATTACAAAGGTTAACCTGAGATAGTGAACTTATGTGACAGGTGATATGTTGAGGGAGCATTAAATTAGTGTTCAGTATCTAGGACCTTAACCATCGGGTTAGTTATTGTTTGTGTATCACAAATGACGTAATGGATCTGAAACTGGGGAAAAAAATCTTTTGTTATGATTAAGTCTGCATAGAAGAATAATACAACATGTAATAATATTTAAATGGAATTTATCAAATGAATGGCACCTGTTTCCATACAGATGTCTGATGACTTGGTGAAGCAATTGGCCAGCTACAAGGCGCAGCTGCAGCAGGTAGAGGCGGCGTTATCGACTGACCAAGAGAATAATGACCTGTTAAAACTCCAGAAAGACCTGCAGGTAAATATCTCCTTGAGAAGGTAGGGTGGGCATTCAGTGTCACGAATACCTGCCGTCAGCCAGCAAGCGAGCATTCCATAATGGTGACTTTGTCCAGCAAAACTGCATAAGACATTCAGATAATTAACGTTAAGTACTTGACAGACATACAACAGCAGTAGGTCCGCTTGTGCCCTTCTGGTCACGAGTGTAGCCTACTAACCTGCGTTAGCCCGTCCAGTCAGGTTGCAAGAAGTGGACATGTTGGATCTCATTGAAATGAAAACATAACAGGTTGCCTCAGTTTGCCGTGCAAGCATCAAGATTTTACGGCACACTGGTTCTCTTCCAGGAAGTTATAGAATTAACTAAGGACCTGCTATCAAGCCAGCCCTCAGTGGCCAGCACAAGTTCCAGCAGTACCGCTGAGACGACCTCGAGCCACTCGTGGAAGGTGGGGGACCAATGCATGGCCGTCTGGAATGAGGATGGACAGTAAGTGCTCTGATTGGCTGCTACACTATGTCACATGTTTCAGTGCAATGGTAAGAGTGTATTATTATTTATCATGATATATGATTGGCGAAGAACAGGTCATTTTAAAGTAACTTGTTTAACTTAGCATGTTCAACAGTTAAGACTAGTTATGACTAATAACTTAAGAACCTTGTTGAATGTGGCAAAATGGTAACAAATATTGAAAAAATTGCTTGTAAGAGGGTAGAATATACTTGGTGCATATGCTTAGTTTGGTGTTGACACATGATCGGGAGAACACTGATCACACTTAAAAGAATCGTAGAATAAACTGTTTAGTTTTGTTCTGAGTTGGTGTTTTACACCCGTACTCACCTGCTTACAGCCCTGATTTATTGGCAGGTTGTACAAGGCAGAGATCGAGGAGATAGACAAGGAGAACGGCACTGCTGCCGTCACCTTCTTGGGCTACGGCAACGCAGAAGTCATGCCTCTGCAGAACCTGAAGCCCGTGGAGCAAGGATCTCGCTCGGAGGAGGACGGTGCCAAGTCCAAGTCCAGGTGAGGCCAGACCCACGGCCTGGATTATCCTCGGCGAGATCGATCGGAGGCTGTCACTGTCGTTTCACTTGCAGGAAGGAGCAGATCGCAGAGATGAGGGAATACAAGAAGAAGAAAGCGTTCAAGAAGGCGCAGCGCATGAAGGAGCTGGAACAGGAGCGTGAGGATCAGAAATCCAAATGGCAGCAGTTTAACAACAAAGCGTATTCAAAAAATAAGAAGGGACAGGTCAGTAGCTCGTTATGGGTGCTGTATGTTCCCCTCTGAGGCAGACTGTGTGTCCGTCACGGCCTGGGTTAATCCTGTAATAAGGTAATCAATGCGCAGGGCATTTAGCCAGGCAGTGATTAGCATCGCAGCTAAATGAAGGAACCCATTGCTTAAGTACTGCTTGTGCGCTACCGTGGAATGCTGGCTTTCTATCTAGCCTGTTGCTGAAGAATGAAGAACACATCTGCAGATAGTGATCTCTGTGTGCCGTTATGTCTGCTGAATCCCGGATGTCTCTACACTCATCTGCCCTCCAGCCCAGATATGCATGTTTCATTAGTGGCTTATTTAGTGTAACGGCGCTTGCAGCCCAACTGGGTATTGCATAGGAGTAGCCTAAGGAATGACAGGTTCCGTTTCCTGTTCCGTTTCCCCATCGCAGGTGAAAAGGAGTATATTCGCATCACCAGAGAGCGTCAACGGGAAGGTCGGAGTCGGGACATGCGGCATTGCCGACAAGCCGATGACCCAGTACCAGGATACATCCAAATACAACGTGCGGCATCTCATGCCGCAGTAACGGGTTCCACGAGCCGCATGTGTTCTGTGGCCGCCAGACCGTTCCAAGTTGGCCCAGTCGTCTGTGAGCTGCGTTCACCCCAGGGAAGGTGTTTTAAAAACAAATAAGCAAACAAAGGCTCACATGCTTGTGAGGGAAAGACTTGACTGTTTCTTTTTTTAAAAAAAAAAATGAGGCATCCACCCTAATATATAGTTAGACCTATGCCTAAATTCATTTCTGCATTATTGATGTTCACTGATGATGGACTGGGTAGCCCCCCCCCCACCCCACCCCACCCCACCCCACTCATCCACCATTATTCAATTAGCATCCAGTTTCAGGTAAAGACAATGCTAATTTAACAAACATGTAGGTTTGAGTTGCACCTGCAAAATGTATTACAGTTTCCATAACACAGAAGAATTGTTTGATGCTATAGATTTCCCCCCCATAATTGGGTTGGTTTATCAAAAGCTGTGCTGTTCTAAGACCAAGTGGCTTTTCCCCCCCCCATCTGAGAGTGTTTCAGTACAGAACTGTTTAATGATTTTTTTTTTTATTGTAATGTTAACTTAGATTAAGTTAAATGGTAATTGGTCATGCTTGTTTTTTTTCCTTTTTGTTCTGGTATAATGTACAAATATATGCGCAGTAAACAAAGAAAATGCCATAGTCCCCCCCCCCACCCCCTTTTGAGGACTTTTTACTAAATGCTACTTTTCAGTTGTTCGTTTACCTTTTATTAAATAAATGTTAAAATATGCCATCGTCTGCAAACTATAAATGAGCCCTTGAGTTTACATGATTTCTCTTTTTGTAGTTGTCCCGAATGTGTTAAGTATGTTAAGAATAGGGATATGCACCGATTCCAGCATTGGGCCGATGCTACGCTCGTATGCCCATACTCGTACTCATAAAAGTTATCCGATACCAAGAACTGATGTCCCTTAATTGCAAAATTACGTTAAAACTTAAAGCCACTGGGTTTTTTTTTTGTGCTGCCCAATTAGATTTTGGCATTTAGCGAGGAGATTTGTCAGCCAGAAACATTTGGGAAGGATAAATGCACAACACTGGCACTGGCAAACTGTAGAGCAGGGGTCTCCAACTCCGATCCTGCGGAGCTACTGTCCAGTAGGTTTTCTATCCTACCTGGCTTCTGATGAGCCACATCTGTTCTCAGGTAAATACTAGGAGCAGGTGTGGCTCATCAGAAGCCAGGTAGGATAGAAAACCTACTGGCCGGTAGCTCTCCAGGACCGGAGTTGGAGACCCCTGCTGTACAGCATATGTGGAGGATGGCAGTAGTAAAGCAGACTGAGCTCTGTTCTGCTAGTGTCTGGAGGGTGGGAAATGATTTAACACAAGCAATTTGATCAGACATCTAAAGATGAAACATATTGCGGAGTACACAGTTTGCTAATGCTAGCAGAGAAAGACGGCAACAACAAGCTTCAGCGCAAATTCTGGAGACACAAGAGAAAACAAAACTGAAGCGTTACTTATATCTAACAAACTAAAGTTATTTAACGGCAGGTTTTGTCACCAATATACACTATATTGCCAGAAGTATTTGGACACAGTGTGTTGATGGGATTTTTTTGATCATTCTTCCAGGATAGTATTTGTCAGGTCAGGCACTAATGTTGGACGAGAAGGCCTGGCTTGCAGTCTCCACTCTAATTCATGCCAAAGATGTTCTATTGGGTTGAAGTCAGGGCTCTGTGCAGGCCAGTCAAGTTCCTCCACACCAGACTCACTCATCCATGTCCTTATGGACCTTGTTTTGTGCACTGGTTATGTCGGAACAGCAAAAGGTCATCCCCAAACTATTCCCACAAAGTTGGGAGCATGAAATTGTCCAAAATTGCTTTGAATGCTGCAGCATTAAGGGTTCCCTTCACTAGAACTAAGGGGCCACGCCCAACCCCTGAAAAACAACCCCACACCATAATCCCCCCTCAACCAAACTTTACACTTGGCACAATACAGTCAGACAAGTACCGTTCTCCTGGCAACTACCAAACCCAGACTCATCCATAGGATTGCCAGATAGAGAAGCGTGATTTGTCACTTCAGAGAACACGTCTCCACTGCTCTAGAGTGCAGTGGCGGTGTGCTTTACACCACTGCATCTGACACTTTGCATTGCACTTGGGGATGTAAGGCTTGGATGCAGCTGCTCAACCATGGAAACCCATTCCATGAAGTTCTCCATGCACTGTTCTTGACCTAATCTGAAGGCCACACGAAGTTTGGAGGTCTGTGGTTAACAACTCTGCAGACAGTTGGCAACTTCTCTACACTGTGCGCCTCAGCATGCGTTGTCCCCGCTCTCTGATTTTACATGGCCTACCACTTTGTGGCCGAGTTGCTGTTGTTTCCAACTCCTTCCAATTTGTTATAATACCACTAACAGTTCACTGTGGAATATTTAGTGCAGTGGTACCTCGGTTCTCGAACTCACTAGAACTCGAATTTCTTGAAAGTCGAACAAACCAGTTTGACCTAGAACTCGATCTGAATATCAGAAGTCGAACCGTGAACGCTGACCTAATATACATTGTACGCGCCAGGAAATGAGTCATACTACAATGTAATTCTTACTTGAATGCCTTCTTCACAGACTGGACGATTAACCAAATAAAGCAGCGCAACATTACAGTAACTAACAATAAAAAAACCACTAACTTACGTGTACTATTAGAGCATTTATGTCATTTATTTAAACTTTATTTTAACAGGTAAATTAACTGAAAACCACTTCTCACTGCTTTATGTAATATATATTCGGCAGAAATAGCAGATTACGCATCGGAACTGTCTGGGATACAAACGTCATGCGTGTTCAGCCAATAAGGGCAAAGGTGTGTCGTCACGGAGGTGGTTCCAGTTTGTGCAGCCGGGTGAGAGGTCGCAATGCATCTAACCGTAATGCATTGCGTCAGAATCAGAATGCGTTGTTTTAAGCCAGCGCTGTAAGCAAGTCAAACGCACCCAATGACCGGACTGGGGAAACAAACTGAAACGCGGACTTAATACAGAGGACTAATGACAACAACCAGAAACAGCTGATCACATGGGGATCTGGGTTAACGAGGGGGCAGGACAGGGGTAATGTTGGGATAAGATCTTTATCGTTTTGGAAGCCATTAAGAAAAAAATGCTCTTCTTGTTTTATCCTGTTCATTTTGTGTTTAAATGCTAAAAAAAAAAATCATATTTAGGTGTAATTTTGGGGGGGCGGGAACCAATTAATTGGTTTTCCATTATTTCTTATGGGAAAAATTCGATCAGAACTCAAACTTTTTAGGATTAATCCGGAACGGATTAAGTTCGAGAACCGAGGTACCACTGTAGTGAGAAAATTTCATGAATGGACTTATTGCACAGGTAGCATCCTATCACGGTAGCACGCTTGAATTCACTGAGCTCCTGAGAGTGACCCATTCTTTCATAAATGTTTGTAGAAGCAGTCTGCATGCCTAGGGGCTTGATTTTATACACCTGTGACTATGGAAGTGATTGGAACACCTGAATTCAATCATTAGTAGTAATTATTGAATTCAGTAATAATTTGGAAGGGTGTCCCAATAAATTTGCCAATATAGTGTAAGTACCAAGCAGACAAATCACAGCTCTTGCGGTCTGGGGAGGTGCACGTCAGGCTATGGCGTAGAGTCCATGACTACAGTACGTCAAACTTAAGGCATCTATTCGACGCGGAAATAAAAATCAGCCTTTACAGTCAAGGTTTTGTTTCTCTCTAAAGACCTTTCCAGCTGAGAAGTGAGAATCCTGATATAAATGATTGAGTTGAAATCTCAGGTTCCAGTAAGAAAAATAAATTAATATATTGAATTGCCTTTATATATAATGTATGATAACCGCATTATACATATAATATATAGTGATAAATGTAACACCTGCATATATGTATCAGAGAAGACTTTCTTACTTACTCTTTAGCGGCAGCATAACTACGACAGGCGCCCACCGGATACCGAACCCTCCTTCAAAGCAACAAACAGAAGGAGGTCAAACGCTGTACCGTCAGGTTCACACGCGGTGGTTAATATACACAACACTAGAGACACGCGAGAATCGTACAGGGTGCACATAAGACACGGGAAACACACTCGCGACAATTGTGAATGCAGCTACACCATAACAACATTACAAGAGCTACTCACAATTACACGCGGAGCATGCTGGGACATGCATACTCGACAGGGGCTTTCACATATATAAAAAAAGAAAATTGACCAAGGCCCGATAAGGTGCAAAAAGCCCCGCTGTTACTTAAATAAGGAATCTATATATAGGCCTAACGACAACGAGGAAAGTTTCATATAGCATATCAACCCATAGGGTTAAACAAAATGTATATAGAGGTGAAAATTTTAGATTATGTAAGCACATGAGCTAAAATTACGGTTTGGGTGATATATCTGTTATTGGTATTTCGCAGATCATAAGTTCGGCGTCCTCAACTAATAGCCTGTGTTCTATAGGCGAAGGTCTGCAACCATATCATTTAGCGGCGCCTTTGCAAATAATTATATTTATTATAATAATGTTACTGGGCAGTTAGAGTGAGAGTTATAGTGACAGTCTTATTAACGCCCAGTTCTAGTTCAATTTTTTAATTATTTTAAACATTGTGAAATGGCGCCAGTGTTCTGTCGAGTTGAGCTACTTTGTCGAGTTAGGCTACCGTAGTGCTAATCGATAGCCCTAACCCTAACCACCCAAAAACCCCTAAAACCCTTACCTTAACCCTAACCCATAAAACCTAACCCTAATTCCAAGACGGTGGAACTGCACATGCGCCGAAATGCTCGACAGCGCGTTTCGATAGGTAGCTCAACTCGTCAGAACACCTGTTAACTTGCAGGGAAAAAGCAGTCGAAATATTTATCGTTTAGTCCGGGGAACGTAGACACCCACATGGATCCAGCATACTGATACCAGAATCAGTAACAAGAAGAACAAATTGTCTGGTTTTCGAAGCGAACAAAAATCTTCCTCGGGAAAAAGCATTTACTTCTAATGCATTTCTTCAAAATTCATCAAATTAATTTGTAGCAAACACGACTTTCCTCGCTGTCGTGATTTAAAAGCATCCCCGCTCTTTCTGATTCATTTTAACCACAGAGAGAGGGCATGATACTTTTTATTGTTATTTTACTGAAAAGGTAATTTGAGATAATTTGATCAAGGCCGTGTATGGACGCATCAAATACAGAAGGCCACTCACCCCTGAAAGCAGCGCTTTCATGTTCAATGAAAAGGAATCCTCTTATAGAAAGATGTCCCGCGTTTTACATTATACAATACACAAAGCTTCCAAAAATTCCAGAAATATTACATACGCACCGCTGGGGAAAGAGTTTGCTAAATTTCAGATGCAAGTAATTTGATTATAGTTATTCTCTGGGTCGTGCATTTTGAATTCAGAGAAACATCACGTTGATTTAGTTTATACTGCCACTATAACGGGGATAAATATTTACATAGATATTTCCACAAACTGTATAATAAAATCCCCCAAAAATCCCAGGAAGCCCGAAAATAAATACAGGGGAGAAGCGTTGTAATTTGCTTGTGTTCGGCATATCCCCTACATGTCACCCAAATTATTTTGCATTTAAACAGGCAAATATACACCTATACGTGGCCGTTGGCTTTACTGCTGTGAGAAACTAAAGGTTTCCATCATATAATGGAAGAGAAGCACTGCGCCATGGTACAGTAACAGCGCGTTTCTCACTGGCGCCGGCAGATGGCAGCACTTACTGCCTTTGCGTAAATAATGCATTAAGACCGACAGGCAAGTTACAATTAGTCTTGCTTCAAAATTGCAGATCCTCAGTGGATTTTAAACCCCTTTAAAAAGTTGCTTTTCCTCTATTTTACACTGGTATATTTTCATTGGCAAAATGTGGATTATATTTTTCAAGGAAGCCACAGCAAACAGTTGGTGACCTTAACTACCGTCTGGCCAAAATTAATTGAATGTGAACTGGATGCATGAATGACAGCTATTTTAAAAATATGTACAGCGCTCCGAGGTGATTTTCGTGTTTGGTACTGAAATCAGAGAAATTTAAACAAAATAGGAACACTGAGACGCTGAAGCTTTCGCACTGTAAACTAGTTTTCTGAGCTTAATTGATTTGTACGCGATCTGCATCATATTCCTGAACTGCTGAGTGTTTGTTTGTGTAAATGAATGACAAGCAGGACATAGCTGGAAAAAATATGAGGGGTGGAAACTTTATTTCATTGACCCATTGCCAGTGTCCAGGACCGACATCTATGCAAAAATAATGGGGTCGTTTCTGCTGCCACTGTGGCTCCGGAAGTTTCTAAGACACAGACAGGATCAGTGAAGGAATTAGAAAGTGTTTCTGAAGACGAGTCCTTTTCATAGTGCATTTCACAAAATAAAGGGGAAAATGACAAATTATAGATTTGAAACAAAGGAAAACTAGTTCGCCCTGTAAGAATAAACTGGGAACATTAAGACACAAGCTGAATAATAAAAATAATAATAAAATAATAATAATAATAATAATAATAATGAAAAGAAAAGCATTTATGTTGACAGTAATTTTACACTTAAATTTTCATAAAAGCCAGAAAAATATGTTTTCAAGGTAAACACCCTAAATGGCATCAACTAAATACAAACATTTTAAAATGTGTAGCTTTAGGGTTAGACTTGTGAGACGGTAGTTTGACCTCTGGTGCATCACTGAAGATCACTGCCGGATAACTGGGATAGCAAAAGGTCACAGGGCAGTACAGTGAGGAGCCAGGCCGGCCACTGGGACATTAGCACTGTGCAGGGGGTCCCATCTTCCACAGGAAGGGGGGTCTCTCATCCTCTGCCAGTCACATAAAGGGGGCTCGCGGCTTGACCTACACCAGCAAAGCTTATCTGCTACTGGGAATGTGCTTGTGAAGATTACATTCCAAAAGGTTGGACAAAGAAAAACAAAGAATGGCCTATGCGACCAATTTCTCTCAATTTGTAAAAATTAAAAAATAAGAAACAGGGTTTAGGCCTCGAAGAATATATAAAACAGGAAAATAAATTAAAAAAAAAAGATTCTTACACTTCTGTGTGAGGGGTGAAGTTTAAATAAATAAACATTAGAAAAAAAAATCCAATTTAGCTGTTACACTTTTTTTCATACATGGGATATTCATGAAAACGCAAAGACGGAAAGGGGAGCCAAACATAGAAGTGCGGTTTGGAATCACCCAGTTACTCCCCTTGAGTGGAGTATACACTCCGAGTCAGCCTGGAACGCAAGGCGGGATCCGTCTGTTACCCTCCCTGTTCTGTCTTAAATGCAGGCGTGAGTTCTCCCTCGCGGGCAGCTACAGAATGAAAACTTCAACTGTTTCAACCAGCAAATTTCACAAACACTGCCCATGCCACAACGACCATCACTCTGAAAAGAAATCTTTCCCAAAAAAATAATATATATATATATTTTATATAATTTAAAAATGCACAAAACACAGACAAAAACGGCAACAGAGGCAATGTTTCTATTCATAGGTACCACCAACTTTTTTTCTCCTTTTTAATTTATGAAACTATTTTGAGTTATATACAAAACAAGCAAGTACACTTTGCTCTCTTGGACGGACACAGGTTTGTGCCTCAGAAAAGGGAAAAAAAAAAAATAGCCAAAGTTTGAGACAGAACTACGAGTGTTATTGCTCTGGACGTACAGTGTACTGCTATAGCGGCCGTCTGCTATGGACCCGCAGCGCCGGTTCTATGCTCTGCCGTGATGCAGGCAGATAACAAGGTAGCTTAATGGTAGCTGCGCTAGCTGCACGCCGGACCGCGGCACGCGGCCCAGCGTCTGAACGCACCGAAACCCACCGTAATGGGAATGTGCGTCCTGTAGACGGACGTGATTCAGGCTGCCATTGCCAACTGCTTTTTTTTTCTTTTTCCTTTTATCTGATTGGTTGGTTTGTTTCACATAGCACCAATGAGTTTTTTTTTTTTTAAACCCCTCCTCCCAGTTTTTGAGCTGTGGTGGTGTTGTGCACTGGCTGAAGCTCGAGGGTCAAATTATAATAATGATGACAAGAATAATAGTAAGAATAAATAAATCTTGATATGGCAAAAATGGATAGTTTTACCATGTTGCACGCATCGGAGTTTTAGTTGTTCCTTTATCTGCAGAACCAGTTGGCACAGGTGACCAGCTCAAAAAAACAAGTTCAGATCCCAGTCAGACGTCAGGGATTCTTGCAAACGAGAAACGAAAAACCTATTGATTGCAAATTTAGCCTTAAATCTTCAAAACCTACAAATTCAATGCTTAATTTTGTAAGGAAATAAAACTCTGGTATATAATTCATGCTTAAGATACTTTTATGTTTTTTTTTTTTTTTTTTCCTCTCAAATATTTAAATCTTTTCATGAGGTTTGTTAATTTCAAAGCGTTCAGCTTCACAAACACAAAAAAATATATATTTTGCAGGAGTTCTAAAAATTCCGAAACGTTAAAATTTTTCTGCGTGTCACATTCCGAACTCGTGCTGGCATCTGCACAGCTACTAAGGATTGGGGGGGGGGGGGGGCAAAGCTGCAAATCCGGCTCGCTGCCGTTAAGGTCCACCTTTTGGGTCACGTTCTGAAGCTGCTTCCTGTTCTGGTCACACTGTGTGGGGCTGGGGGCTGGAGGGGCCCGCTTGCCTCATTAGACCCCTGAATCTGCCCCCCCCCTCTCGGGGCCCTCTAGGAGGAAGACGAGGAGGAGAAGGCGAGTTTGATGCTGCAGCTGGAGTAACCCTCATCGCTGGCCATGCTCTGCAGGCTGCTGTGGTCGTCCAGGTCACTGGTGCTGCCAGTGCTCACACTGTCCATGTCTCCATGGGAGAATTCAGTGCTTTCAACGTCGACTTCGATCTCCTCTGCATGGGTGGGGTGGGGGGGGGGGGTTGGTCGGGGAGAGACACAACAAAAACTCATCAGGACGGGATTCTAAAAACAGCAGCATACGTTTAAGTGTCAAATTGTCCGGGGGGGGGCACCATTAATGAAGTACTGTTATCTGCACAGATGAGGATTCAGATGCCAGGGGAAATCGAAGCGACTGACAGTCTGCACATTTCCCCTGGCAGCTATGCTAGCCTGTCATGTTAATCCACAGCGCGTCAGCACAGCATCGATCCACCTTCGGCGTCTCTCTCCCTGTTCCACTCCCCCCCCCCCGAGTTACTCTCAGGCAAAAGAGAAGGGGTTCTGGCGTGGGAAAAGCAAGACACGGAAAGCCGTTTTCCTCCCCGGGTACGCCGGCCCGCCTACCTTGGTCCGAGTCGGAGCGGTCGGAGCCTACGCTGTCCATGCGTATCCGCTCGCCGTCGCCGGGGGCGATGCCCTGCAGCTGGTCCAGCTGGCGCTGTAAGTGGCGCTGCTCTCGCTCCAGATTGGCCAGCTGGTGCTGGCTCTTCCGGTCGGCCTCTTCAAGTTTCTGTGGGGGAGGGAGACAGAGAGAGAGTGGCCCTGTTAGTCACAGACAGGGGTGTCTTACAGAGCGTCAAAGACCCCGCCGTCCCTCTGCCATGTCAGTAGCGTCAAACGGGGGGCCCGGCTGAAGCTGCCCGCATGCATGAAATGGCGCTTTGGCCTCCACGAAAGCGGAAGGCCCTTAAGGGCAACAGATCACCATCTTCGGGGAATAAAACTGCCTGACAGCCTCGGAGGGCGGTTGGTCAGGAGCCGCAGCGAAGCCCAAAACCTCACAACACCGCGGTAACTTATCCTCCATCGCTGGCGTCCTACCCAGAAAGAAAAGGTGCTCGGCTGAGTGCGGCCTGCCTTCTGCCCGCTCAGACCAGAATGTTCCTTCCTTGCTGCGGCCTACCTTCTGCCCTCTCAGACCAGAATGTTCCTTCTTTGCTGTGGTCCCCCTCTGGCAGGGAGTGAAAGATCAGGGACAAGCAGGAGACGCCCCATGTCCTGCTGGGACGCCTTTTGTCCCGTTTCGCTTGGGGGGCTAGTTCAGAGTCTCCGTACGGGAGCTCTGTGCTGTCCGGCCTGCCTTGTCTCATCTGTTTAGATGCACCGTGAAGCTTGATATTCAGAACGTGAACGTCCCTAAACACACTTAATGAATATAGTGAACGCACTACCCCCCCCCCCCAATACAGGGCCCTGGCCTCCCTTTTTGTTATAAATAGCTGCATATTTGGAGGATCGCTCTGGCATCGTTTGCTGACATTTCTGCATGACCATCGAGCTGTAAACTGGGTGTGGGGGGGGGGGGCACGGGGGAGGCAGTATGGCCTGTTGGGCCCGAGAGCCCATAGAGCAGCTCTGCTGGGGCGAACGATCTGTCGCCAGCCGCTGTGGTGTCTGCACCTTGTGCTTTGGGCCGTCCAAATTATCACAGAAGAGGCAAACTACCCACCAGGGTGCGCAAGTCAGTGAGCTTTGGCCACTGCGCCACCTGCTGTCCGACATTGGTAATTGCACAGTAAAGAATCTTGGTATAGAGCTTCCCAGGTGGAACTGATCATCTACCACTGTCCATCTACCTACTTACGACACGTCGACCTCCTTACCTGTCTCACATGCGTCCCAGTAACACATGGAATGTTCAGTGATGTTCAGGACAGCAAACGTGGAAAATGAACGTCCCTGACAGACAGACAAAGGCGAGCTCTCGGCACAGGCGTGCACAGGACCCGCCTGTGTCCGTCCGCCGGCCTGCGCTGCTGTCTGCTTGCCGTGTGCGAAGCCAAGGTGGCCTCCCCCCTCCCCCCCAGTCCCAGATGGCAGAGGGTCGGGGGCTGCGGCGTACCTTAATGTGTGTTTTGGCTTTGTTCAGCAGACCCAGGGTTGTGTGCCGGTTGCAGTCTGGTCCCAGTGGTATAAGTGTCTTCAGTCGCTCCAGACACAGCCGGAGATGAGCCCTCCTGCGAGACAGGAAGCAGGGGCAGAGGGCTGAGTCGCCACACCGGCACATACGGCGAGCCCCCCCCTCCCCCTCCCCCAGGGCAGATTTACGGGCCGGGCCAGGAGCTCGCCGGGCGCTGCGCATTTCCAGAAGAAACCGCCAGCTCCTGCCGTCGCCATAAATCTGGCGATTTTTAGCAGCCCGTGGAAGAAGAGGACCCCCCCCCCCCCCTCCCAAGAAGGCATGCAGGGCCGACAGTGAGAGCTGAGGTTCAGCAGGAGCTGGTGTGCTGTCATTCATCCCCCTTCCCCCCCAATCAGCCCCCCCTGTCAGCCTCCCCCGGACGAATGGCTTGCAGATACCCCTCAGTGACCTTAGGTTCCTTACTGCTGTAAATAAAGCTGAGATACCCCACCCACATCTCCACACACCACCCAAATTACATGCAAGGGGGACATTTATCATGGCTAACCTCCAGGACTGTTTACATGTACTAGGAATGTCTGCCCGCTAAATTCAGTCGCTACGGCAACCTGGAGCTCTAAAAGTACCCAAGGAAGATGTGGAAGGGACGGCATCGGGTTCGAATACTCTGTCATGCTCCCATAGGCAGCGTCCCTGACCATCCATAACGCCGAAACTCACTCTATCTACTCTGCGATGACCTCTGATCGCTACATGCCAGACTTATGGCCACCCCTTGTGACTTTCTAAGGTATACATCCATTTTCCTGCGGGAGGGTGTAGGTAAGCCCTAAACTCCTCCATCCAGGAATAATAAACGTTAGGGTGCATTCGCAGATGGCTGGACGAGCCCTCGTTGCGCATTTATCCGTTTGATAATGTCATCACTGCTGACGTATGGAGTCCAAGGTGCAATGGCTGTCCCAAGATGACTAAAGACTATTGATAACAGATATATATAAAAGTAGCATCAGAGGACGAAGGACTGGTGAACCCCTCCAGGCAGCGAACTGAAGTACAGTCGAACCTCGTTACAACGTACCCCGTTTATAACGTTTACACCAATACAACGTTCAAATTTCGATGTCCCGAATTCGCGTAATGCATTATTCCATTTGCCGGTATCGCTTAGAACGTACACCTTTACAGCGTAAACTTCGATACAACGTATGATTTTCAGAGGAAAATAGGCAAACTGACCTTCGTTACAACGTACAGCCTCATCTTCCGAGCGCGCGCACAATTCAGAATCAGCTGTTGCCGGCCATCTACATCGCTTAGCAACGCCTAACTGTATGAACCTTGCATGCAGCCCCCGTTTTTTCATGGTTTTGCATGGTGTCATGCTGCCGCATATCAAGCAAGATGCCTGCTAAAAGGAAACGGATTTCACTGACCGACAAGGTGGAAATAATTCAGAATTATACATGGCAGCCGACGCGAACTAAGTTCTGAAACTGTGTGGTTATTGGGGTAATTGTGTGACATATAGTGAAAGAAATTAACAAAAGACATGTCTAACACATGTATCGAAATTTATTTCAGCCAATTGAATCATATACAGGTGCATAATTTCGGTTTGACATTAGGTTA